GCTGATCAATCCCCTCTCCCTCCCTCCCCTCCCCCTGCCCCACACTCCTCCCCTCCCCCCAATCGAGACAAAAGAGAAATCCCACCTGAAGATGCTCAGGCTCTGGTGCGAGTTGTGTGTTATTGTGTGTCCATGCTTCTTAGATGACCCTGCTGAGAGAGGACCGTACTTGAACACAAGGAAAAATAAAAAGACTCTTTGCAATCAAACACTATGGTCTCTAGTGTTCTTTAACAGATGAAGTTTTGGATAGGGACATCCAGTTCTTTTCTGAATTAGCAGCTCTTTCAGGTGCTTTCTTTGCATATATAAAGTGTTTTTCTCGCAAGGAATCCTGCGGTGTATGGTGTGGGTTAATCTGACGCACTTTGATGTGTTTTAGATTAATTCACATGTTTGTGCTCTTTCTCTCAGCCTGTCTTTTGTTCAAAAGGGCTTCAGGTGACTTTGAAGATCTAACAGAGTTAATAGCATGATGTCAGAACATTTTCCTTCCCACAGCCCTCCTTCAGGTTTCTGAGCTAGACATTTTTAAAAACAGTTCTGTAAAAAAACTGGGAGAAGTAATAACAGGCAATGAAGTTGCTCACGTATCCAATCAGGCAAAACCAAGAGATGCTTACTGAGTGTAAATACATTTTTAATAGATGGTAAGTACTGTAAATATATGTTGAAAGTGGACAGTGTACAACAGCATGAACACCTGTATAATATAAAGCAATACAATAACCCTACAGCGAACACAACCTTGGAAAGCTTTGAATTACCAGTTTCAGACTGTCTCTGCCAAGTGTTACAGTCAACATCATATGTGTCCAGTAGACAAAACAAGCTGAACACATGTATAAAACTATTCTATATGGCACTGGAAAAATATCTTGAAACGTCTTCAAAACTAAAATATTCATATTCAAGTTGCCTACAGTAGGGAACGTATGCATCTCTATGCGTGAGCTGGAGCACATACAATAATAAACATAAACGTCTTTTAAAGCCATAAATACATACATAGTGCTCTATAGACGTCCGATATTCGACACAATGCAAACAATGTTAATAAATTCAAGCTGCTTTTACACAGACAATTTACCACTGTTGTCCCCTACAGCTGACAAGCAACACTGTTAACATCTTGATACCATCATCTGTTCACACAAACATATTTGACTTACAGGCGTGCTGCAGCATGTTGTATGATATCAGCCCTATTCATTCGTGTACTGATAATGACCCCTTTCAGATGCCGTAGCGTTAATGTACTTACACAATGTAGCAGTGATAGGCATGTATAAGCATGACAGGTTATTTTGACTGTGGTCTTGCCCCAGAGTGACTGTGGTGGGATGTGGTGTTAATAATAATAATAACACTGAAGTGTAAAGCCAGTGGAAGGGCTCCTCCAGTCACCAGCCTCTATTGTCACATAATGACAGTGGACAGACATCAAAGGTGCAGTAATGGAAATTCCTGTTATGTATTTTTCTCATTGTTTTGTTTCCTCATTGTGTCGCCTCCTACAACTTTGATCCCATTCATCCACATGCCCATTCTGAGACAGAACTGAACTTGCAGCATATTAAATGAACGAGGCTGAGCTGGAAGTAGCAGCATTTGTTACAATCCATTGGAATTCATGTCTCCCACTCCTCTCTCCCTCCCTTACCCTTCTTTGATGCTGTCTGGGTTAGGCCTGTGAAATGTAGTGTTGGGTAATAACTCCATTGCGTTGATTATTAGCCTTCACAATAGAGGCAAGCCTCCTCTGTCTGAGCACAGTCCTATAGTGGAAGGCTGGTGTAACTTAATGTGGCATGAAAATAGCTCCTCAATTTTCCTACGCACAGCCTTTCTAGAAACTGCCCTGTTCCACCCTGCAGATGCCGCCGGCCTTCACTGTTTCACTCCCTCTCTCCCAGCTTCCTCTCCCTCCAACTCTCATAGCATCCCTACCCATTTAGCCGTCACACACCTCAAGCTGGACCCAAAATTGTGTGTATGTGTGTGTCCACATATGTGCGTGCAGGTGCATGTCTGCAGATAGCCGGGGAGGACATGATGGCGGGGAGGGCAGACACAAAGTGACATGTAAGGGAAAAAGAAGGAGACAGAGACATAGAGGGGAGCAGGTGGAGGGTCTGTGATTTATACTCGGAGGATTTGAGCGTGAAATCAATTTGTGTTTAAGGAGAAGTGAGACTCCGTGGAGCCACTGTTTGCCACAGATAGACCTTGAGAAATTAATGCTCTCATCTGAAAGCGAAGGAGAGGAAAGGGTGCAGCTTAAAGAAGGACCAGTAGGATGGGTGAGAGAGGAAGATTGAATAGGTAGGAAAATAAGTGGAGAGAAGAAATGGGGAAGGACAAGGAGACTACTTACACAATGTCAAAATTACCAGCATTATAATATAGTAGCAAACAATGTGAGTACTAGCAGCAGCATGGAAGTACAAGGTCTTGGAAACAACATCTTGGATAAACTAGAAAAATTCAGGCTAGTTTTTTTGAGTTATAAAAAAATAATGGCAAATGAGAAATGCCCTAGAAAATCAAAAAAAATAATTTATTTTTCATCAGCTAAGAGGAGTCTGTCAAATCACCCTGCAACAGCTGGCAGCTGAAATTAGGGCCCTGTTCAGGGACAAGCTACAGTTCAAATCATATGAGCTGCTGTTTGTAAAGTTCCGAACACATCTCAGCTTAAAAGGTTTTGGCATTTGCATCTACCTTGAGACACCTCCTGTTTATAGCAGGTGAATACATATATGTGCTAATTATTATTATCAAATTTATGAGTGACACTCAGAGAAACATGCAAACAGAGTAATTTGATTTATTATTCAAAGTTAAACAGTCACCGTTAAAAAGAAAATGTTTTGCTTTGAAACTAATTTATGTTACTTAAGCCTTAATTACTGATTTCTTGGTCACTTTGGGGCTGCGGAAACACACTTTAAACACAATACTGACTTGTTATCCATGTGAAGTTGATATGGTGAACTTGATAGCAAACAGTTACTTATTTCCATATCCAGAAGAAACATATCCATTTATTTTGATGTCACATTTCACCTGATAAATATTATGCTGAGTTCAGACTACATGATATCAGCACGATTATAACCCAGCAGACATAGGTTAGGATAGATTTACTTGGGCGGGCAACACAGTATATTAACAGTCAGGGACTCTTTTTAGTATTTTACAGAGAAACAGAGAGAGATGCTGGTGGAAACATGAGTTGTGTTTCTTGGGCAACTTTAAAAAACTTACTGCTGACCAACAAAGTAACATTGAGAGAGGAGCAAAAAGAGACAGGGCAGACAGTGTGTGTGTTTGTGTGTGTGTGTGTGTGTAAACAATAAAACACCAAAATAAGGTGGATAGCCAAGTAGAGGTAGAGGTGAAGGAATAGGCTGTAGTTTAAGTACACAGTTGTCAATTCATAATTTAATAATAAATAAATTTGAATACTTAATATACAATGTTAAGATGATATGATCTTAACAACGGTAATAGTGCACTGCCAAGGTGCCCTTGAGCAAGGCAACCTAACCCCAAGAAACTGCTCATGAGGCACATTTTTTGCTGAAAAAAGTGGTTTGGAGGTTTACTTAATTTTCTTTTAAATAAAAACTTCTGCCTAGGAACTTCCTTTACCTTTGCTCCATGTCCACACCCAATGCTAATTTACTGCATCCACTGTATTTACTCATAAACCACGAAACAATGTGACTTGCATAATTATATGAATAACTGACTGCATATTAACATAATTTATCTGCCGATACCAAGGAGAAACAAGTGAGGGCTGGAATCAGTACGTTCACTTCAGACTCATGCCTCTAAACTCCATTTCTCACTCTGCTCTGCATTCGAGTCCTGGCAGTACAGGAATGTCACATCCCCGACCCCCGTGCTCTCTTCACTCCCTCGCCATAAATAGTGCAGCATCTCTGAAGCAGCTCTCGGCATTCAGAGTTAAATGCTCACACAGGGAACATTTCCCTCTTAGCTCCAGCCTCACCTCCTACTGGGAATATATAGTAAAAAATCTGCACAGCACAGCACGCTTTTAAAGGTGAACCAGAAGGAATGGGGTTTAAATTATTTCTCTTACACTAGACAATAGGGAATGTAAAAATGTTAAAAGGTCTTGAAAATTTATCTACGTTTGAAAAGAGCATGACTTTTTCCCTCTTGGAAGCACACAGTGGAGCAGTCTGTTTTAGCTGTGGTTGAATATGTACACAATAACGTCACTGTGTGTGCTGCTCGTTGCATGGTGATATTGTTTGGATTTAGGTGGTTCTCGCAGTGTTCTGGGTAGAAGTTAAGTCATATTTTGGTGGGTATTTTCAGCTGTGTGATGGCTGCTTAAACACTGTTCACTGTGAATTCATCAAATGAGAGGTTTGAGTAGTCCTAAGAGCACAGAGGTGCATTCACACCCTTCACAGGGCAGCTGGTGACGTTGACGTTGAGGCTTACTGCAGTCGAACTGAAAAAGCTCAAGTTTTCATATGTCTCTATATGTCCAACAGACCGTCTCTTTCTTTACAGTTAGTCGTAATGGCTGCCACCAGGTAGGATTCCCCTTGAAATCAGTGAAATGAGGTGGTAGAAAAACTACCACTTATGCTTTAGGGTGTGGATACCTTGTGATTGACAGGTCATTCTCAGTGAGTCCATCCAGCTCAACGCACCAAACTCAGATCAAACTGTCAAACTGGGCAGTGCTGATCAGATATGGATCCAGATTCTGTTACTGTGTTGACTATTTCTCTTGTTGTATCTGGAAATGCGATTTTGTGTGAACTGGCCGAGCACCATGTGTTTCCTGCTACGGACAACTGCGGAAGCCATGAGAGCAGCTTTAATCGCCGAAGTCGACTCAACTGCTCCAACACACGTCAATGGTGGTGCCATACATGCCAAACTCGAGCTTCAAAACACTAACTCCACAAACCAATGAAAGGACATCACAATAGCTTTAAATCTTATTATTAACCCATAATCATTTGCAGCAATAGCTTATTGTTTTCGTCTGTGCTATCTTATCACACTACACAATGCTGCACACAAAGCTATGACATTTGCAATCTCTGCAGGCTGTTCTCCAGGGACCTCCTGTTACCCACGTTCTCTGTGCCCTTGTATGTGTGTGTGGCAGTGTTATTTTGTTTTTTGTTTTTATTCACAACTGTTGAGAAATACACATACATATACATAATCATTATACATAAAGTTTGAACCAGAAGTTTACTTACACTGTATAAAAAGACATAATTTTTTTTTTCTCTCACTGTCTGACATTAATCAGAACAATCACACTTTTCATGTTTATAGGTCGTTAGGATTACCAAAATTATTTCTATTTCTAAATGCCGATAATGAGAGAAGGATTTTTTTTTGACAAATTTTTTATTTATTTCTTCAAAGTCAGGTACGATAGCACTAG